GTTACACCTGTCAAGAACCCCTTGATCTACAGCTACCCTTACTCTACGCCGTCAGAGAAACCAGATGTTTACAAAGCTGTCATCACGCGCATGGCTCTAAGCGTGACTAATAAGATGGAGGAGGATCCAGCCGCAAAGCATAGTGGGTTCATCATAGACACGCCTGGAAGCCTCAACGACCCGAAAAGCAATTACGATTGCCTGAACCACGTCGCCTCCGAGTTTAGCATCAACCTCATAATCACGACCGGCTCCGAAAAGCTTCTCAATGACCTCAACCGGCGCTTCAGTGCTGGCAGATCAGCGGAGGATGCAATATCCGTGCTCAGACTGACGAAACCAGGTGGTGCGGTTGAACGAGATCAAGGGTATATGAGGCAATTACGGGTAGCGCAAGTCAGACAATACTTCTTCGGCTCAGCCAGAGAGTCACTGAATCCACATTCTCACTCCATCAGCTTTAGCGAGTTGAGCATCTACCGCGCAAAAGCCGCCTCGGATATCGAAGCCGGGTCAAGCTTCCGAGCGGATGACGACGATGACTACACTCCCGACATGGGCACAGGCACAGCATCTGCATCCAGCACATTCGAAAAAGTGACGCCAAGCGTAGCTATGACTGGCTCGCTGATGGCTGTCAAGTATTGCCCCGGGAGCAGCGGCGAGGTGATGATCCGGGACAGCGCCGTATTGGGCTTCCTGTACGTGGCGGACATAGACGAGAGCAGAAAGAAGGTTCGCTTCTTAGCGCCTCATCCACAACGCTGGGGTGATAGAGCGCTGGTCTGGGGTAGTTGGCCAGAGGCTGTACCAGATCTAGTCACGTGAGAGGTTTGATGGGACATGGAGGATCAATGCGCATTATATGGCGGCTCGCCAAACACGCTAGACATGGCATTAGACATCGTTCAATACGTGTGCCAGACCACTTCACTTTAGATTCCTATTTCGACGGATCCAGCATCAGCTTGCCAGTAGTTTTCCGGCCCTCAAGATCCTGATGTGCCCTGGCCACCTGGCTGAGAGGGTAAACCTCGTGAATCCTCACATCCAACTTGTCCTTCAGAATGAAATCAAACAGCTCCTTAGAATAGTGATCGAACTCCTCCCTCGTCGCAATGTAATTGAACAGAGTCGGCCTCATCAACCTCGCATTCTTTGCCGTCAGTCTTGCGATCGTCACCGGCGCCGGAGAACCCGAAGCGTTTCCAAACGACACCATACTTCCCTTCCTCGCTACACATTCCAGCGAGAGATCAAAGGTGCTCTTGCCGACGCCGTCGAAGATGGCAATGCAGCCTTGCTCCTTCGTAAGCTCCATGACCTTGGACTTGACATCGTCTTGGCTGTAGTTGATCATATGTGTAGCTCCCGCCTTCTTCGCCAGATCAACCTTCTCTTGCGTCGACGCTGTGCCAATAATGTTGGCTCCCACTGCTTTCAGCAGCTGGCAAAGCCAAAGCCCGGTGCCGCCGGCCGCGGCGTGGACAAGCACCCAATCGCCCTTGTTCACATGGTGCGCTTCCCGGATCAGCGTGAGCGCCGTAAGACCTTGCAGAATTGCAGCCGCGCCCATCTTGCTGTCCATGCCGTCCGGGACTTTGACTGCCTTGGCCGCTGGCGCAGCGGTATACTCAGCGTATGCTCCTTCCGCCATCCAGATCACTTTATCTCCGTCTTTCAAGCCGTAAGTCTCGCCGCCGCCGGCCTTTTGGACCACCCCGCAGCCATCGCGACCTAGAATGTAGGGGAAGGAGGGAGCTGGGTATAGGCCGGTACGGAAGTACGTGTCGATGTAGTTTACGCCGACGAACTCATTGTGCACCAGTACCTGGCCCTCCTTGGGGGTGGGAATCGGCAGATCGGTCTTGTATTGCAGGACTTCGGTGCCGCCTGTCTTCTCAATAATCACGCCCTTCATGGTACTTGGCAGGGAAGCCATCGTGCGTAACGTCGTGCGACTTGGGGTAAGATGTGATGAGACTGTGCTTGCTCGGCGAAGAGAAGAGTTGAGGAGACGTAGGGAGGACATAAAGGAAAAGGCAAGGAGAGGGAATGATTCAGTCGTGTACACGTCGGCGTGAGGCCCTTACAGTCCACATGCTTATGAATCTTGTGTGCATGCAAGACCTACAGCAGCTAGGTACCCGCATATACCCCGCCGTGATCGGAAGGAGTCCGCACCTTCCGTTTTGGGATTACCCCGCATTGGTTGGCAGTAGCAGTGAACTCCAAGTGCCGTCGTCCGAAGTAGGTCTTGTTTATAACTGGTCCCATACCCATTTCTACCTAGGTATATGGCATCTCGACGACAGACTTTCACCTGCGAGGTCCAGGCGCTCGCTTAAGCCACGGTAAAAGCAACCGCATCGTAATCACATCACGGAACACGGCACATTGAAGCCTACACTCCGGCTTACATTTTAGATCGTATTCATCCATGCTTAAGTGCTAGAGTGCTTCTTCCCATCATCAAGGCGTTGCTGGAAAGCGCCGTGGAGAAGGCGAAGATAGCGAGAGCTGATGGCCCCATTTAAGGTAATGGCTTTGCGTATAGCCAGATACTTGTACGCCTGCCTTTCCACCTCATAAGGAGAGTTAGTGTCGCAAAGAATGCTCAGCGAAGCAATGCAAGTCTTTGAGATCCAGCCTGTGCCTGAGCAGCTTCAAGTTCTTTGTCCCACAGACATCGATACCCACCCCTTTTCTGCAAGCTCCCGGGTTACCCTTTGTTATAGGTCCAACATGCGGACTTTTTGTGTCAGACTTAAGATGTTCCGCAGGCAGCGCAACTCAATCTAGCAGCGTTACAAAGTCGCCAGGTATGATACGTCTTGTGAGTACACACGGTCAGCACAATGCCACAGGAAGTAGCAGACCAAGCACCGTCCTGCCTACGCCTACCACCAGAGCTCCGAAACCGCATATACGAACTTCTTCTCCACAGCGAAAATGGTCCCTACCAGCTCTATAACGGACACACATCCCCTCCAATCCTCAACATCAATCGTCGGATCCGGTCAGAATGCGCCGCCAACTTCTACCACAACATCACCTTCCAGTTCAACGACCCGGCAGTCTGCGTACGGTGGCTCGTGGGCCTATCTCAACAGTGCCGCGAGATGATTTCAGAGATCCGTTATGATTGCTCCGAGAATTGCTGTGATCCGAGTTCGTGGCGACAAGCTTTTCTGGATTTACCTGGCATGAACGAGTATAGCAAGTTATGTCTGCTGAAAGATCGGTTAGCTGAGCAAGGAGTCTTCTTGCAGTGTGACGTGCTGAAAGCAGGCATTAGAATCAACGGTGCGCTCGTATGGACGCATGATCCGCTCAGTGAGGCGAGAGAAGCTGTACAGAGAGGTGCTATGGTAGGGCGAGTGATGTTTGTATGAAGGGCAGCGTTGCCGTAGTCGAGCATTGAATGAACAAGCCTGAGCTATGGAGCTAGAGTTTCGAATCTGACGCGGCCGGCTTCCTGTACATAACCGTAGCAGCTGCCTTTTTACAACATCAGCCAAGCATCTCTGTCTATGACCGCCTGTGCATGACAGTCGCCGCTGCCTTTGTCTCCAGTCAGCACCACATCTTACAACCACGAGCGAGGGGTGATGGCCTACCTGATGGTTCGGGAAGACAAGCATATCAGCAATAATGACGTTCTCCGGCCTCCCCGCCGCGAACACAACCGTCTCTGCAATGTCATCCGGCGTCAAAGGCGTCACACCCTTGTACACCGCATCCGCCTTCTCCTTGTCGCCATAGAATCGTACCACGCTGAATTCTGTCTCCACCTGACCCGGGTCGATCTCGATCACTCTTATCCGACTCGCGATCAGCTCCTTCCTCATCGCATCAGTGAACGTCCGCACCGCGGCCTTGGTCGCACAGTAGATGCTGCCGCCCGGGTAGCCTTCCCGACCAGCAATCGAACCAATATTGATGATGTCGCCTTGCCCACTCTCGCCGCGCTTCTTCATGACATTGAGGCACGTTTGCGTCATGTTGATGAGGCCCGTCACATTCGTGTCCATCATAGAGCTGACGTCTTCCTCTTTGATATCGCCGGCTTTGTCGACGCCTTTCACCAACCCAGCGTTGTTCACCAGCACGTCTACCTCCTGGAACTCTTTAGGCAGCTTGTCGATGAAGCTTCGTACTTGATCCGCCTTGCTGATATCTAGCTGGACTGGCAAGACATTGACCCCATCGCCAACTTCTTTCTTAATCTGCTCGGCGACTTGCTTCAGCGCATCGATCCGCCGGGCCGTCAAGATGAGCTTGAGGTTCTTGGGCGAGGTGCGGGCGAACTCCAAAGCGGTGCTCTTTCCTATGCCTGAAGAGGCGCCCGTGACAACCACAGTCTTGCCTTCGAGGCGGCGGCCCATTGCGGAAGCCATGGTCCTACGAGTGGTATGCTGGAAGAGACCTTGCAGCGGCAAGCTAGAGACGGCGTGCGGCTGCCGAAGGGTGCCTGCTGTGCTGTACAAGGAGCGGAAACGGCTTAAGAGATGCTTTCGAGTCATGCGACAGGCTTTGGAAGAGAAGAATAATGTGTCCCTAGCTGTACCTCGTACTTGTCAAATTCGGTTGCCGAATGTTGGCCGCAGTCCTCAATGGCTCACATGGCGTGCTCCGGGGTTGTTGTGAGGGGACCGCGGGGAGCTTGCAGAGGGGCGGGGCGGCTTCGCCGATAACGGATTGATTTAGCCGCTGGCCACGCTCAAGAATACTCAATCAATGAATTAACCATTGCGGCTTACGGAAGCCCCAATGATTGATTGCCTTCCCACCAAAGAAGCTACCCCTCCAACGTCGTAGCCCCGTTTTTGCAAAGCATATCCTTCTATCTTAGCAAAAAGCTTCTCTACCTGAGTATAAGCACCTAACCTTTCCGTTGGAGCTGTGTGAACATCACAATCGCAAGCGATGGAAAAAGACAACAGAACGAAGCGGCCAAAACCCAAAAGTTAAGTAACCATCACAGGTGCCAATACAAGAGGTCTTACCCGGAATCGAACCGGGGTTCCCGGAAACTTCTGAAGTAGTCAGAATCCGATGTGATAACCGCTACACTATAAAACCGACGGGTTTTTGAGCCAGTTGACTTGCTTATTGTACATATTCGTTAGTTCAAGTCTTCCGAGAAACGACCGACGGCATTGCGTCGCCCCTTGCTGAGAGGCTCACAATTATGACCCTCAGCGTCGCTCGAGTTGCAGAAATTGCGGTCTAGATCGCTATAGGTGATCGAGGAGGTACTACTGCGTATCGTAAGCCGACTTTTTCTTGTATGGCCCTTGTGCACTTTCCAGTGCAACGCAACACCTGCACAGCAGCCTCCGTACCCGCAACAATGATCTTTTTTCAACAGCTACCTTACCTCCAGACGAGCACATGGGCCATTCTGAACCAAAGGAGAAACTCCCACCGACACATAAAGCCCATAGAAAACCCCCTGACGAAAAATAGCCAAAACGAAAAGCTTCAATTGCCAAACCTATCAAGCCCACATCTCCATCCCCAGCCTCACCTCACTATCAGTTCCCAAATTTTCCCATTCTCAGTTTCGATCTACCATATCCAAGATCCCATCTCCTCCAAAATGTACAACATCCATTCCAAATCCCACCATCTTCCCAACCACGAGGTCCCAGCCTAGCTCCTTTCCACTCCCGCCGCCTTCTGCTGAGTGGCGGGAGGGACGTAGCGGGGCAGTGTATCATCCATCCAGAATCAGTCGCCAGGCCCAGCGATGATGGGGGTATCCAGCAAAACAAAAGTTTATCCAAGAGGTTTTGAAAAAGTTACGCAATCGCAGAATGATTCAATCAATCACAAGGAAAAGAGAATGGCGCCAAATTTTGTATTAAAGGAGTGTCGTGGGCGCGGAGTTCGTTGGGATCGTTTACACATGACGGGTTTCTTCCCTCTCCTTCCCTTCCTTCTTTTCACCCCTCTGTCTTCTGGGAGGTGGGAAGCCGTGTAGTGAAGCTTGTTCTCTAGTTTCTGACATAGGAAAATTGATCAATGGGATGGTGAATGGGGTAGAAGCCAGTCGGCCGTCGCGGCGCCAGGGGTGTCAGGATTCGGCTGTGCCAGGGGACGGGGGCCGGAGGGCGGCCGAGGCAATGTTATCGCGGTTTGAGGCTTCCATGGAAGGACGTTTGATATCGAGGAGCTTGGCGCTGCCGGCGGACACCTGGCGGGCATGGCGCTGACCATAGTTGACGCTGCGGGCGCTGCGGAGCTCGGGCTCCTCGCCTGGGGAGCTGGGGAATTTGAATTGGTCCTTTTCCGGGCTGGCGGTCGCGGAGCCGGGGGCTTCGGCGTTGGCGTATTCAGTGAGCAGGCCTTCGCGGGATTTGACGCGCGAGTTGCGGTGTACGAAGGTGGGTTTGCGACGGACGCTGTCGTGGACAGTGAGAGGGTCGGCCGAGGCTGGATCGGCACCGCCGGCGGTCGCCGTGTTGTCGCCGTAGTCGCTTTCGGAGTCCGGGTCTGCGCCTGCGCGGGCGGGGCTGGGCGTCTTGCGTTTGAAGTATTCGGCGTCGCGGTCGACGCCGAGTTCCTCGTAGCTGGCGTTGAAGTCTGGTTTTCGTTGTCTGAGGGAGCCGATGCTTCGGCTCAGCGCGGATTGTCCGGACTGGCGTTTGCCGGCGCTGGCGAGCCAGGAGCCTTCGGTGTCTATTGAGGCGAGGGAGGCGGACATCAATCCGTGACCGCGTACTCCCGGACTGACTGGCGTGTCGTTGCGACCAATGGCAGACGGATCCGGGTCTGAATTCCGCGCCTTGTCCGGAAAGTCGGCGGACTTTTGCGATTTCTTCGCCCGTCGTGCTGTTGCTGCCGCAGCTGCCAACGTAGTGACGTCCGGTGACGGCATCCTCGAGTCTGGTGGTGAGATGGGCATCTCCGGCAGGTCTTCTCGGAACCTGCTCTTAGCACGGACCGGAGCACCTATGGATTTGCTACGCGGAGCTGGTAGGGTGTCGACGAGATGCGCCGGCAAGGGCTGGTTGCGCATCGACTCCCGGGAGGTATTGGAAAACGAGAATTCGGACGGCGTTGATGGGTCTTCCTCGCCCCCTCGCACTGTGCCACCTCTGCGGAATAGTGCTGCCCATCCTCCTGCACGGCGGTCTTTCGGTTCCGAGACTCTGCGATCGGCGATGGGAATGGGAGGGGGTAGCGGAAGGCCACTGACAGGCCGCTGCGGGCGGACAGAGGGTGCCAGGGAGATCCTATGTTCCGTCCGGTTGGTACGGACCGGGGATAGCGGTGGCGTCTGTGTTTGAGGCATGCGCACTGCCTGTGCCATCTGCCCCATCGGGTTCTCCATAGGCGTTTCGATTGGCGTGAAGGCGCCTGGCACACGTGGCGTGCCCAGATCTTGCTCGCTTGGCGTCGGCGGTTCTCCTGTGTCCTGGAATGGGTTCTGCGGTATGCTCTCTTGCGGCTCGTAGTCGAGGTAGGTGCCCGTGTTCTGAGTCCCAAGCTCTTCTGTGGTAGATATGGCGTGCGGGTCCGCATGGTCCGGCTCTGTTAACGCAACGCCGATAGCAGCAGCGCCAATGCCGAGCCCTACAGCTGCCTCATCACTTACGACAGGCGGATCACGGAGCGCGGGATGCACACCTCTGGGCGTCGCGACTTCCTCACGTGCCCGCTGCGTTTCCTCCGCGTAACGCCTCGCCTCCTCTGCTCGCCTAGCCTCTTCCGCCTCCCTCAGTCTGCGATCGCTGTCACCGCGATTCCTGCCTGCTCGGTTGCGGAGCTTTCTATCGAGCTTTTCCTGCTGCTCCAGTTTCCGCCGCTCCCTTCGATTTGCGTCGCGCTCCATCAGCAGCCGGATGTCGCTTGCGTCGAAGTCGTCTGCATCCTCGCCAATGGTCTGTCGCTTCCTGGCTGTGTCGCTCCTCACCGGTGTCTTGTCCTTGACTCGCGCCGAGCCCTGACGTGATAGGCTTGAAGCTGCTGGGAGACTGCTCGAGCCGGGATACTGTGGTGTGCCAGAAAGGCGTACGGCGGGCCGCGCGCTGAAAATGTTGATGCTACCAACCTCCCAACCTCGTTGCTCCATAATGCCAGACATGGTCGAGTGTATAGAGTCTTGATGAGGTAACGAGACCTCGGAGTCTCGCATCCCGCGCCTCTTCTTGCTGTCACGTCTGAGAGGGCCTTCACCAGCTCGCTTCGGTATCGGTATAGGCACACTCATTGCCCGGATCTCTTCTTCGCGCAAAGCATCGTCCTTGCGCTTCTTGCCTGACCGTCGTCGTTCCGGCGCGCCGCTGTATGTGCTCCGCTTCGAGTTGATCGTCTGCGGCCGTGATGCCTTGGCCTCTTCGCGCTGAATACTCGTCTGCGAGGTTGCGTAGGGGCGGAAGTTGTAGGGAATGTGTGGCCGCTCTAGATCGACAGGGCGTAGATGCGGGCTCGAATTCAGTCGGCGGCTGTACGGTAGCGCCGTGATGTCTTCGACGCTGCCGCGCTGCGTGACAGGCATAGCATTCTCCTTGCCGGCCGCGGACCCCTGCTTCGCGCCGCCTCGGCCAGACTGAGCGGGCTGAGGCAAAGGTAAGGGCGGGGCGGGCATCTTGTCGTGTTGCGACGCGCGCCGCCGCTTGCTCAAGCGCCTTGTGACGGGTGATGATGGCGTCGTCGCAGCGGGAGTCGTCGTTGCGGCCTTTGCTGGCTGCGTGGTAGTGGGCGCCTTCTCCGACAGCGCGTGACGGTCTGCGGCCTTGGTCGCGCCTTTCCGCCTAAACGGCCAGAAGGATGGCATTATCAGAGGCCGGCTGTTTCAGCTGGGCGGCGCATTGCCCTGGAATCCCTGCTAGAGCTTCAGTTCGCTGCGCGCGATGATGCAGGGCGGACGTTGCGACAGAGTAAGCGATTAGTAAAGTAAGGTGTGTCAGGGTAACAATGATGATGAAGAGGCGCAAATGACCGTCGAACTCCCAAGTACTGTGCAGGCCAGGCGGAGGAGAGTGGAAGGTTTGTTTGTGAGCCGTCGCCGTCCAGGTGCAGCGGAAATTGGGCGCAAGGGCACAGGCACGATGGGATGGCCGTTGTGGCTTCTGATGGCGACGTGCTAGAGGTGGGCCGCGCGAAGCCTTTCGATCGCACCTGCAGCCGGCAGCGTGTGAATCTGGGAGGGTGGAGACTGGTCGGAGCGTCTAGTCCTCCCTACGCTCGTAACTTCGCCGTTGGTGCTGGAGGGAGGTCTGGGCGTCTGCCTTCAGCAGGCGAGCGACGAGCCCCGTTATTGCGAATTGCGGGGCTGTTATGTAGGTATAATGGTTGCTACTGAGGATGATTGAAAACACTGGACAGCAGACCCCTCTCTCCGTCGTGAAAGAAGAGCGGCGGAAACTGATTGGCAAGTCGTACGAAATGAGGGAGAAAGCAGCCAGCAAGGTGGCGCTGCAGACGTCGACACACACATCCGTCTATCGACCCGTCCGTCCATAAAAGCATACATAACAGCTCCCGTGTTGCCGGCCTCGCGAGAGCACCACAGGCACCTCAAGTGACCTCGACTACCTCCGATCAACTAGCGTCTGGGATGGGGGTGGTGGGTAGCGGTCCGAGCGTGTTATTATTACCTTAAGGTCAGAAAGGTTCTGGCCGCGCTTCGGCTGCTCGTGATCGCGAGGGAAGAGAGAGACTCCGACGGGGTCCCTTCTGGGAGCTCTCGATCGGGCCCCTAGCAACCCGCTGTCGACGAGCCGCAAGGCATACCTAAGGTAGGTACCGTATTATTTACTCTGTCGTTTTGAGTACCGAAAGTCATTATTGTTGCTCCTCCCACCGCAGCAGTACGCACGGAGGCAGGACGTCCATCGATGCCAGCCAGCCTTAAAGGGCGTGGAACCTGCCGACCCTTGTGCAACTCGCTCAAATGCTCCACACGATTGGTCGAGAAAGGCAAATGAATGGGCCAGAAGTCGTGCTTCCATGTGCCTCGCAGCCTTGTTGCAGTCCCCTCGCTTGCTCTGCTTGCTTACGGCAAGGGCTTGTTTAAATAAATTGCGTTGTACTGACGAGGCTGCATGACCATCGTGGCCCCACGTGTGAGG